TTTTAGTTTTTTTAGTAAAGTAATGCTTTATTTATTATTAAATTAAAATATAATAGGATAATTAAAATAGTATAAAAAGTTAATTTAGATTATTCTTTATTTAATATAAAAAAATTCTAAAGATTGATTAAAATTTGAATGACTTTTATTAGAAGTAATTATTGATTTTTATATTAGTATACCAATCTTTTTGCATCAGCCCATATTAAGTATGTATTTCAAAAAAAAAGATAAAATTGAGATTTATTTATTTTATAACTTATTTTTTTTAATAGTCAAAACTAAAATTAGTAAAAAAAAAGAATTGCAAATGGAAAGATAATCTTTACTTAATTAAGATAAAAACTTCTAGTTTTAAAAAAATAAAGAATATCTTTTCAAAATTTCTAGTTTAATTTAATAAGTTATATATTTTATATATTATTTCACTTTATTATAACTTAATATATATATATATATATTTTATAAAGAAATAATTTTTAGTTAAAGTTCTATTTATAGCTTTCTTTTTGCAATATATGCAGTTTCTGAATAGAAGCTTTGGAAATTTATAAAGAAAAAAATGAAAAGAGAAGTTTAAAAACTTGACTGAATTTATTTTTGAATAATTGTTTAAGTTAAAAGTTTTATGCTTTATTAAATTTAATTATATTATTTAACTTACATGTCTTATTTATCTTTTGCTTGGAATTGAAATAAATTTAAAAGAGTTCAATAATATTCTGATCATCCAAATTAAATATACAGTATGTGACAAAAAAACTGTAATTTTCATAAATATTTATGATTAAAATTTTTAATAATAAAAAAAACTTAAAAAAATTATTAAATTTGATTATTATTTTGCAAATTAATCTTAAATAAACTTGTTTACTAGATTATCAAGCATATATATTTAAATTTTATATGATTTAAACAAATATTCATTCAATAACAAACAAAAAATGATGAAAAAAGGATTTATAATCAAAAAAAAAATTATTAAGATAAGCTATTAAATGCTTTTAAGTAAACTTGTTCACTAGGTTATCAAGCATATTGATATATATTTAAAATTTTATATGATTTAAATAAATATGCATTGAATATAAGCAAAATAGTAATTCCGGTTTTTTTTGTCAAACACTGTACGTGGTTCTTATAATTTTTTGAAGTAGTGTTTAATGTTAGATTACCTCTTGATTTGGTGTGAATTATGACTTTTATAATACATTTAGTAAAATTTTGTCCTATTTCGAGCAATGCAATTTTTCAATTAATTTAACTGATGAAACAACACCAAATATTTCTTGATTGTTCTCAGCTCAAGCAACGACATTCAAAGATAATCGATCGAACCTTTGCATTGAAACTTGGAACACCAATAGAATATCCAGCATCTCTGTACATTTCTTTGTAGGCGATTTAACTTCATTTCAGATGAATGAGATAATACCTGTAAAAAATGATTCAATTATTTCTTTTTCAGATGCTGGTAATGATTTTAATAATTGATTCAGTTAGCTTCTCCAACTCTGCTTCCGCTAACAAAGACCATTGAGTTGTCAGAGAACATCACTGTTAAAAGAGAATCGGTTGGAAGGAAAAAGGAAGCAGTTATTTGGCATACACTTATATTTTATCACCAAAAAGTGTAATATTCCTATTTTTATCGTTCACTGATGCGCATCATCTATCGTAACAATAAATTCTTCCGTTTATATTTAATTCAATAACTATGTTAACAAGCTTGATTCCAATTTATTATAATGCTAATCTTTAGAATTAATATACGAGAAAAATGATCTAGAGATGAAACAAAAATTCAATTTACTTAATTTGGAATGGCAAAAATTGGTTTTGACGTTGGAGTTGAGAAACTTAAAATAACGTTGTCGTACGATATCAGCGTGCACATACATGTCATGTCAATATTGAGTTTATCGTTACCCGGAAAAGTTATTGTGTCGTTCATTACTGTATCGGTATAAAGTCGTTTTTTGTTAAAGAAAATTTCTACGGTTATACATACGTTTTACATCGTTATAACGATAGCTGATAAAACATTGTAATTATAATACTCCTATGTTTTTATCGACAACACAGAAACACATGAAGAAATCGCACGGAGTAAACTAAATCCGTGTGTTTGTCTGAATTTAGACACGGAATGAACAAAATTTAGCTTATTTATTATTTATTCGTGTGAATTTCTTTGTCCTTTTCTCGTCTCTTTCGAGAGTTGATGTACCTAATACATACATTGTTATTTTGTTGTTTGTCGCTGACAATAGAACTGGGAGACAATAGAATTGGTGAGAAATTTTCTTGTTCAAATTTCTTTCATGTCTCGGCAGACTTGTTTTTCCGTCGTGATTAACAAAGTTAGACAGATACGCATTGACAGATGACTAAGCATCTCCTAATCAATTAAATGGATTTGGCATAAGCTGCTGCGTTTCTGAAATGTCAACTTGCATGTACATGTACCTATAACATTTTATTCTCAAGTCCCGTAGTTTTTTCCAAAAAGACTCGTCAAGAAGATCGATCGACGGTAATGTAATATCATCAACCCCACGTTACATCGTTCTGATAATTTAAAATTTAACGAGAATTTTAAGCATCGAAGGGAAAGGATGGCGTTACTGGTTAACACTAATTAACTGGTATTGTTGTTCTCATAAAAGAATAAAGAATAAAGAATAAAAGAATGCTAAAAAAAAAGAATAACCAGAAATGGTAACTTCTATCATATAATATGCGGAACAACGTTAATCTTTCATTAATTTTTAATTTTGTATTATTTTTCGAGGATACAAAGAATAAATATTTATTTACAGTACTGTAATATCGATATATCGTGTGTAATGATTTTCTAACTTTAAATCGTCTCGAAAAATCGAGGGGGAGCTCTATTTTTGGGTGTAACTAATAACCAATAATATATTTCATGAATTAAACAAGATTTTTTTGTGTTGCCCGCTTGCGGAGTATGGAGATGGATCGCCTCTAGAAAGTTCTTTGAGCTCGGTTTTAAAATTATTATTAGTCTTACATCCGCGTTTTGTGTAACAGAATTTTTTCACATCCCCGCAGTGTAAGTTATAATAAATTTGATAAGAATCACGCTAGGTAAAAAAAATTTGCCACTTCAAAAAATCCAAATTCTGCAATCTAATAAAGAAAACCAGGTGTACGAATTTTTTTTAGATTCTAGGATGAAACAAACAGGACTAACATCTCTGGACACCGTTGACCCAATTTATCAAGACCTTCACAACACATTCACAACAGCAATCCCGGGAGCAACGATAACTGGAATTTTAAAAATTGAGATGCCAGAGAAAATTATAAAACGGCATCGAAACCTCGCGGAGAAAATGTCAAAAAAACATAGAACGGATACACAGACAATCACGCACGCAATGTTTCATGGAACAACATATTCTTGTTGTGATCCGATTACGAAGTTGGAGACTAATGCTAAATTATGTGAGAATAAAGAGTGTGCAATGTGTGGGATTCTTAGGAAGGGAAATAAAATGCGTAAAGGTAGAAATCGATGGTGGTGGTGGTGGAGGAAGAAGTCAGGTATTTGGTCGTCGAATGATCCAGCACATTCATTAAACTATTCATTGAAACGTCGTGATCAGCATCCTTATATTATGTTTGTATTGGACGTGCTTTCCCCGCTACCCGGTTATACACTTGAAGTTTTTAATAAGGCTGTAAGTTTTCATGCTTTTTCCTCATATTCACACGAATCTTAGTTCTCTTGCTAAGATCAAAATTGAAATTTTCACAGGCTACAATACCTAAATATTTGATAACTTTTGAATATACAAAACCTCAAGAACATTCATCATTAATAGATTTAACCGAGAACTATTAATTTTAAAATTTTCTATTAGTATTAGGGATGAAAATAAGGACATTACCTAGACTTAATTATAATTTTCAATCTAATTCTACGGACATTCTGTACAGTATTTATTCATTTGACTATTTTTATTGATATCTTTCTTCTTGTTCAATTATCAAACTCTGTGGAAGTTAATTTGGCTGCCCTCTCACTACCGCTACAGATTTAAGACAATCTAATATTTCACTAACTTCTTTATTTTAGTGGGTCAAAAATTTAAATCTGATCTTTAGGCATTTATTAAAATTTAAAAGTCATAAGTCATAATTTGTTAGTCTCCCACCGAAAAAAAGTGTTACCGCGAGTTTCAGAGATATTTGTAAATTGGATTCTGAGCATTTATCAAGTATATTGTAATTCATTAAAAAGAATTTATTACAACGCACGCGACAAAAGAAACCCTCAAATTAAGAAGCTACTAGCACTCCCTGATCTTGAATGTTTTAATTAGCATAGATGAGTTTTTAAAAGATAGTTTTAATATGCATTTTAATTGGTGTAATTTATCCAAAACTTTTGGTTATTATAAAATTTTTAATTTGCCATCAACTATTGGAATTTCCGATAAATACAGAATTTTTTTATGTCCTTGAAACTTTGGTATATAACTAGCAACTGACACGCATTTCCCATAAATACTGTAAAATACTAAACTTAAAATAGTGAAGCTTCCATTACAGTATGTATATTTTTAATGTTAATCTTCTCAATGATTTGAATGGACTTGAAAAGGTTATCAAATGGGGAACTATTTATTTTTATCCGAAATATCAATGGGGATTTTGAGAACTTTTGGTCGATGTCATATTAAGAAGCGGATGAAACTATTTTTGAATAAAAACTTTTTAATCGTTGATATTGTAAAGGATGAGTAAATGAAACTTGTCATAAAAAGTCCTTTTGTCTGGCAAAAATGAATTCTACCAGCCTCAATGATTATGTTTCTTAAATTAAAAATTTATCCAAAAACTGGATATATGTAGCAATACAAAATTCAAAGTTCGCTACACTGTATATGCAACTAACTTTGTTGTTACAAAGTTACGTGCTTTTGTTTTAAATTTGATTTTTAGATAGAGGTCATATGAGATAATCTTATGACATGTTACGTCATGTATAATTTTTTTAGTGTGCAAAAAAACCAGTTTTAGCATGTATTTGGCTTGATTTTCAACCAACATTGCAGCATCTTGTTTTTCTATTTTTCTTGTTTCAAAGATGTCGGATACTTTGGATACTCAATCTTTGGATACTCAATTATTAGAATCATTTCAAAAAAAACTTCTGAGACTAAAAGAAACATCAAAATTTTCGGACGTCTCAATAACCGTCGGCGAAGAAACAAATGCACAAAAAACGTTTCATGTTCATTCGTCGATTTTGGTGGCACAATCACCTTATTTTGCAAGAGCACTTTCAAACGATTGGACTAAGCACAAAACCCAAAAAATAATCGCTTTCAACAAACCTAATATCTCACCCGAAACTTTTGAAATTTTGTTGAGGTGGGTATAAAAGGACTTTTCTTAGATTGAGGACACATTAATTTATATATCATCCAAATTAACAGGTATTTTTATACCGGCGAAATCAACTTAAATTATCACAATGAAAGGCTGCAAAACATTTTTGCTATTCTGTTTGCTGCGGATGAACTATTAATGAATAATTTGATGCAATACATCCAGGATTATTTAAAAGTCCATTGTAAAGACTTGTTGATGGAAAATTTTGCAATGGTATATCAATTAACATCCGAGCGCGAAGTCTTCAAGAGGCTTCAAAATTTTTTTAAGCATACCATTTCGACGGATCCAACAACAATTTTTGGCTTAAAAGATGCTATAAACTATAGTGAGTCTTTGATGATTGAATTACTTAAAATGGATAATTTAAATCTTATGGAAGTAGAAATTTGGAAAAAAGTTATTGAATGGGGAATCGCACAATCTTCTGAATCAACCGAATTCAATTTCACATCGCCGATAACTGAATGGACAAGCAAGGAGTTCGAACAGCTCAAAAATATACTTAAAAATTGTTTGCAACACATACGTTTCTTTCATATCAATTCCGTTGATTTTTACGATGAGGTGCATCCCTATAGACCAGTATTGTCAGATTCACTTTTCCAAAAATTGGAACATCATTACTTCGTGCCTGGAAGTGAGCCAGAACTAGTCTCTAAATATCCGATCAGAGAACAATCGGTTTCCAATATTTTAACACAACATAACATTTATAAACTTAAGGAATGGATCAGAAGACTAGATAAGAACCAAAAATATCCAATCAATTTCAAGCTATTATATCGAGCAAAGTACTTTTCAAACGAGGAATTTCATCAGTTATGTGACGATAAAGGACCAACAGTTATAGCCATTCGTACCAAATCATTTTCTAAAGTGATAGGTGGATATAATCCGATTTCATGGAGTACACAGCCATTCCGTGAAACTCCTAAAGAAAGTTTTCTCTATTCGTGTTATCCAAGATCTGAAGAATTTTCAATAAGTAAATATAAGGGGAGACGTGATATTTTTGGTTACCGTGGTTATTATTATCGTAATCGTACTTCCATTTTTGGTGAGGAAGATTTAGCTATAATAGATTCAAATAAGGTATATTGTAGACCAAAGTTTTATGAATTTGGATTACTCGGATCTAAAAATAACGAGACTGGTAATTTTGGATTACTCGGATCTAACAATAACGATAGCGAGGTGACAGTTAATTTTGATGCACTTGAAATCTTTCAAGTTGTTCCGCTTAAGGAGGAGAAAACTTTTGTAAGATCTGTAGGAAGTTTTATTACTAGATTGATTAGCAAGTAAAAAAAAAAAAAACTATTGAGAGTTTATTGCGATACAATCATCTTTTTTGGAAGTTTTAAAATATGTGTAGTAAAATACTTTCTTCTTAAAAATTTGTTAGATCTAATCTATATAATCACGGATTAAGAAATTATGATCTTTTTAAACCCCTCGAAATGAATATTGATACTTCAAGTCATCCTGACCGCCAGGCTTTAAATAATACTGATATAATGTTTGATAAAATGTTTGTGACAATAATTGCGAATATGGTTTCACATGGTAGTAAAAATCAGGGGAATTGATGTGAAAGAATCGAATATGCGGCAAACAATCATGAAGAATCGAGTATAATCGATCAAATTCGTTATGCGTCCATTGTGTAATAGGTAAAGTATTATTGATTTCGGCTGATTGTGCTATACCCCATTTGATGACTTTTTTCCAAATTTCAATCTCTTTAACATGTAAATCGCCTCGTTTGATTAATTGAATAAAAATAGGCTTCTTTAATTGGGTGAAATCAACTGAATTAAAGATTTCAGTAGGCTGTAATTTAATGGCATCATCACAAAACTGTTGAAGCTTTACGAATTTATTGTGACTAAATGCTAGTTGGTGAATCGTCGCAAAGTTTTTAAGCATCGCTTCAACATGTCGCTCCTGCATATACAGTTGAATATGTAGTACCAAATCGTCCACCAGAAGCTCATCCGCGGCAACCAGGATGGCTATAGTTGTTGTTAGATCATGACTTTGCAGGTCAATTTTTCCGCTATAGAAATATCTATATAAATATTCAATAGATTTTTGTTTTATGTAGATTAATGCGAATTCTTCTAAATTTTACTTGTTAGACAAACTCACTTCATCAAAATTTCAAATATCTTTGGGGTGATATTTGATTTTTCAAATGTGACTATTTTATTTGGTTCGCGTTTTGTCCAAGCATCCGACAGAACTTCTTCAAAGTAAGTTGAATGTGCTACCAAAATTGCAACGTGAGCAGAAAAAGTTTGTTCGTTGGGTTTTTCACCGACAGTTACTGAAACATCGGATGTCTTTTCATCTAATTGCATAAGATTTTGCTGGAATGATTTGATTAAGTAGTTGATATCAGACATTCTTTTACACGAAAACAAATTGTTATTTAAAAAAGTGCTGTACATAACTAATTTTGGATCTAGATTTATGTTTCACCTTCAATTGGTGATCGTAGCCGACTTAGATGCACCGGCGCAAAATCGACTCGCTGAGTCAGCCGACCTTATGCGGAGCATATCGATCTTTACTAAATTATAACAATAGATGATCGATATCAAGTATTACAAAAAAAGTTGCAATAACTCATTAATTCTCTGCGAGAATACTTTCAATAAGTAACAGTATTATCTAGAACAGAATTTTTTCAATGTTAAGTACTATTTTAGAATAAAAATATATCTAAATTACAATCAGAACATTTATATCAAGAAGATTACTTGAATTAATAAATGTAATCATTCATTACTTTCATCTAATATTACCATTCATATTTAAGTAATAGATGCAGAGTAAGATTTTTCATATAATTATGTCATGCATGCTAAAAATAGAATTTAAGTTATGCAAATTCAAGATTATATAGTTAATTATCAATATTCCTGAGATTTTTTTTAAATATTACATTATTACCCTTTTCTTAATATCCCATTCTATAAATTCTATTAATATCAATATCAATATACTGTAGCATCAGATAAAATAAATCATCTCACATGTAAATTTATTCTATTCTATTCTTTTTGATTTTTACATATTCTTACCAATTATTAGTAATTATTCTTGTACTCTCTTTGTAATTGTAATTATATTATATAAAATAAAAGAATCTGGATGAAAAGGTTTAATAATTACTGCTTGTTTTATTAATTTTTTTACTAATTGTTTATTCACAATATGAAAATAGACTTCTTAAATTAAAATTAATAATCTATATATTATTTCATTATTTCATAATATAATTAAATTTTATCTTTCATATTTTTATTATTTGATTTTAAAAATATATTTACTATTTTCTTTCTTTCAAAACATATTAATTTTTTTTCTTGAATTAGATCTAATAATTATTTTACTATCTTGAGTAATTTTAGCAAGTTATTACAAATATTAACT